AATGCTTGAGATAACTAAATCCGAACTGGAGAACACACTGCCTTTAGTTTGCTTTTGGGGAAAAAGTACATGACTGAAAAGTTTGGGTTGGTTGTTAGGTTAGTAGATCAAATGGAATATGGAAACCACTGTACACTGAGATGAGTTTGGGTATTGGTACCTTCTGGGGCTTTATATATATAATACTACTGTTGAAAAATTTTGTGTCAGCTTAAATTCCACCCTAAAGTTCTTCTCCATTATACCCATAGTTATTACCGTGACACTGTTTGGGAGTTGAACAGTTTTACCTGTATTTCTTTCTAAATATTACTTTGCATTATTCTGTAGGCAATATTATTCGCAAAAAAGGTGCGAGTATTGAAAAGGATTGCCCTTTGCGCAGTTGCATCCTTGTGAAAAGTGCAGCAGTTCCAGGTATTGCCTTGGGAGTGGGAGGGAGCCACCAGATCACTTGTGACATGAAACAGGGGAAGAACATTACAGTTGGAAAATGAGTGTCAAAGTTGTTGTTGACTAGATTCTCCGGAGCCTAACAGCCTGTGGTGTGTAAAGAAACACCTACGTGTGCGGACATAATTCCTGCATGTCAGGGTGCCAGCGGTGTGTGCTGCAGCGCTGAAGCTGGTGGGACTGGAGCTTGCTGCAACCTGGAGCAGGGTGCTCTTGGCTCTGGGATCCTCTCGCAATCTGAATTCTGTCACACTGAGCATTGCGATGTTCTCTTCAACCACCTGGTAACCGTGATCCCTGCCATGGTCACTGTCTGGCCGTGTCCTGCAAATGTAAACTCCAAAATGTAGTCAGTGGGGAGTTCAGCATTTTCCCAGGATCCAACTTAAACCTTCAGAAGTTTTTGGTGCGGGAATTGATGTAGGTCAGGGAATATCAGGAGTTGAGAAGGGAAGTTCCTGTATTTGCACATGTTGCGTCAGATCTCTGGCGGAGCTCTGCTTCATTGTTGGGATCTATTTATGTCTTCCTGCAAGTTCTGGAAGTGCTGAAGCTGCAGAAAAGGAGAGTGTGCTCCCGAGCAACTATACAGCATGTTCTGGCTTAATTGCTTTCATCAGCTTTCTGCTGCACGAAAGCTGGGTGCTGTGTTTATTCATCATGGCGAGGGGGTGGGTGTGGAAATAAGTTGCAATTATGCTCAGCTTTAGCACAGAGCTCACACTTAAGTGCTAAATATGAATGTTACAACCCTTCCTAGAACTGTCTGAACATTATGAACAATTTAACAGGAGGCTGAATGGGTTCTGCACCAGCAATTAAAGCACAGACCTTTTGGTGCTGCTTCAGTGTCTGCAGATTCAGACTTAATAAGAGCAGTTGCTTTTCAGAACTTCACAGAATACCTGTTTGCTTCACAATATTAATTAATTTGGTGTTAAGGTGAAAACTCCAACCTGCTTCAGGCTCTGGAGGGCCAAGGGCTTGCTCTCCACCAGGAATCCCGTGCTGGCTGGTAGAAGCAGTTTGACATTAAAGGAAACGGCTGTGCAATGTTGGCACTGGTTCAGATACTGGGGTAAAAATAAGCTAACAACCTGAATGCATTGCGAACTTTTGAGTTGTCCTGCCTAGGCTGGCTGCATATGCTCTTAGCTTGCATGTGAAAACTAAGTATTGCCCAAGACAAACAATTTCCAGGTGGTTCAGCTGGTAAGGGGTTGCCTGTAACATGTGCGAGTCCTGGCTCAATAGAAGATACTGCTGCTTATGCATCCTTGGGATAGTAAAATAACAAGAACTTTACATTTCATTTTCAGCTTACAAATGCACTTGCATTCAAAACAGTAAATCAGAGCTGAACAAATATGAGTGAAGTTAAAGTATCTGCATGAAATGTTCTGGAGAATTGCTTTTAAGAAAGTGATGCCTTCTTTTTTAATGCCATGGACTGAATGTCCTTTACTCAGGCTTCTGTTTTAATGATTGGGCTTTATTCTTCTGTGCAGGAAGCACTGTTTATAAGACATCTGAAGTTAGGTTCAAATCTCAGGACCACTTAACATTAGGATTTCAAAGGTTTTGGTACTCCTGGGAGTTTTAGAAGATTGTAGCTTTAAATCACAGTTTTATAAGCGGCTGTGAAGTAGCCAAAACGTTCAAAAGAGGAACAGAATCTGCCTTAAAATACTGCAGAAAAAAATACCTCCCATCTCCTAAACAAATATTTTGTCTTAATATGCTTTGTGGAGCACTTTATATCTCAGAATGTTTCCTGTTTTTGGCAGATGGCTTAGCTTCAGGAGTGCTTTAACATTGTCAGCTTTGTTCTTGCCTTGTATGCCTCATGGCATTTTCCATCTCTTCACTACTCAAGTCTGTAGTATGTGCCACCCCCAGCACATCCCTGTTGTTTTCTTTTTCTTTTTTCTTCTTCTTCATGTATGTAAACTATCCCATGTTATTATATTGTTTCAATATCCATACCATATATAAAACAAGATTTTATCTTTCTGTCCCATTAGCTCAAAATTTTGCTCAGGCAAAAATGGGGGCTTTGGGTTTAGCTGCTCTTTTTCGGGGGATGGAGAGAGGGCACCTTACCATATGCTTTTCTATTTTGTGTGTGCCTTGGCATGCAGCAGTCCTGTAGAGGCACAGGGCGGATGCACAGAGAATACCAAACGTTAATTATGTTATTCCTGAGACTAAGAGAAGAAAAGCATAGATCTGAATAGGACAATAAAGTCACCTTTTTCTGCTCTAGCATTCTTACTCCAAAGCAATTCAAGATCTCCTATTACTTTCCTGCACACCCCTTCAGTCTCACATCCCTATTTTTTTTTTCTTTTCTGCTTTGTACCACACTTAATTCTCTCTGTGGCTGGGTTTTTTGGGGTGTCCCTCCTGCCTAGACCTGCGTCTCAGAGGGTTCTTAGGCTTGAAGACTGATTTAGAATAAGATTCTTTTGTTGTTCCGCTTGGGGAATTTCCATTCCCCGAGTCCTCATTCCTTCAGACTCCTTTTGGAGTGTTGCTGTCCAGGCTCCACTGCTCACCTTGGTTAACCAGCTATGCATTTATTCAGTTAGCACCAAGATATTTATTCAAAGCTAGACAATATGACTGGATTCTGTATCTTTCAGCCTTGTTTACTATGAAATATCTTTCAAAACAGCAACACAGTTTTAAGGCAAGCCTTACTCGCTGCTCCGGAGTGATGTCTGTGATTGCAGCGCAATAAATCTTTCTCATTATTACATTTTAAGGAATCCTTTCTGCAGTAATATGTTCATTTAAAAAAAAAAAGAAAACAACCATTTAAATGCAGAACAAAATTCTCATTATTACTAATTTGCTTTGATGACAGCACTGTGACAAAAATATTAAGACCATAAAGCTGAAAGCTGGTAAGTTAGAAGCCTGTCAAATATGCTATTTCTGTGACAGCTACTGTGCTGTCACAGAGAAGACCCAGCTTACATTTTCGTGAGCAGACAATTAGCCTGAGTTAGTTATGTTGCCAAAGTCTTCTGCTTAGCATCCAGTCGCAGCCTTGACAGCGTTTTGGAGTTTGGTTTGATGCGATGCTGGCCAAAGGGAGACTTGTTCTCGCAGCAGTTGTTAAGGTGGGCTGAAGGGTAAGTCACTGTGACAGTAACCACACTTGGAAGCATGATCTCCCATTGGAAAATTTTCTCCTGGTTGTTAGTATTTGGAGGGCAGAGATTTATGTGGAACTGCTAATAAAGTACTTCAAATGTAAACACCAACTGTATGCAGCGTACAGTATAGGCTTAGATGTGGATTAGTACAGCAATTAAAATGCATTCTTTCTATTGTGACATCCCTAAAAACAGGAGGAGTTTGGAATTACTTTGTCAGGCAAGTTCGTGGCATCACAGCCTCTGCAGGGATAATAGCCTCAGATGTGATTAACCTAAAACTCATCAGGCAGTCTGCACAGAAAGTGGAATGTCTCTTTTTTTCTTCCCTCTGTCCTTGCAGGCAGATGAGCTTTGTTTCTCTTGCACATAACGTTTTGCCTAGAGCCTTTTCAAGAAGCAGCTCACCTTTCTTCCGTGATGGATGGTGGGCATCCTCCCTGTGCTACGTTGATTTTTCTCCTTCTTCCCTCTCCCTATGGCCTTTAGATCTGGCAAGGGAGAAAACTCAAAAAGGTCCTGTTTGGTTTCTGTGGCTACTGCCTTGGAGTACTGTATCCTCTCTGCCTATGTCCAGACCAGCTCACTTCTGCATGAAGTCCCATTGGCTTCTCTTCTGCTGCAAAATGCAGGGACCAGGAAGGATGTAGTAGAATAGCTGAGGGAAGTGTTTAGATGGTTAGATCAGGTTAGATAGTTATGATAAGCTGATTTGATCTCTTGTGTGTATATATATGTAGGTCATAGTTTTGTCTTTTCCCAGAAGCTGAAATCTATGTGCATCTTTCAGAAAGATCTCAAATCTTGCATAAAAAAGTCAAAGCAGTGGCATCCATCTCCCATAGTGAGAGTTTTCAGTGTTTAATCATTTTGCCAGGAAATAGTATCTCTTCAAGCTAGATGTGTGTAATATCAGATTCCATTCATTGTGGCTTTAAGTTTATTTATGAATGTGAAAAATCTGTTTTCTCAATTCTTTCCCTTTTCAACTCTATGTACAAATGTAGGGGTATGTGTGAAATGTATATATTATGTATGTGTGTGTCAATATGTGGAAAAAAAATTAAGCTATCTTTCAACTTGAATTAGTTCAACAGACCATTTTTTAATTCATGGCATCAATAGGTCCCTTTTCCTTATCAGGGAAAATCCCTTTTGACCAAATCCTTTTTGATACCATAAAAGTTGTATGTGCTTAAAAAGATCACCATAGTATATGGGGGAGAAGTTGTTCTTTGTGTTACCCAATATTCCTGTTTTTATACATATGAGATGGCAATAGCTTTCCAGGGAGCTGAGCTGTCCTGCAAGCACATGCTGCAGTTACCCAAACCCCACTATTCTTTTTGCAGAGGGTGCTCTCTAGAATTCCCCTTCTCTTACTAATTTCCTCTTCTTCAGGCAAAGTCTCTCTGGGCTTTTTGGCTTTGCCGCCTGCCCTCAGGCTCTCAGTGACCGGTTCCAGGTGTACGACCCTTTCTGTGTTGGGGAGGGTCCAAGGGGCAGTGTTCAGGTTGCGGTCGCCCGGGAGCGGGCAGGGGTTCCGGCTGAGCGGAGCAGCAGGGTTGGTTTCCTCCGCCTCGCACGCTAAGCCCCGTGTGCGAAGCACAGCGACGCGTCTCTGCTTTTTCATGGTGACCTCGCGCTGCCGTAATCCTTTATAACCTTCAGATCTCTTCACGCAGGGTATGCCTCGCATCTCATTTCCCTTTCCTGTCTTTGTATGGTCAATTATTTCTATGAAGGAGTAATTTAATTATTTTTATCAAAGAGAATAGTTGTAAGTTTCTTTAAGAATTGCCTTTTTTTTTTTCAGGTGATTCCAGAACAAGCTTGTTCTGTCAGGTTCATGCAGTCCTCATGAGCTTCCTGCTTTGTTCAGTAAGCACCTTCTTGCTCCCATAACTCAGGTTTTTGTTCTGTGCAGAATCAGCATGTCGAGGAGGAGATCTGCAGTGGAATCCCACTTGAGGTGCCTTTCTGTACTGACGGGGAGTGGTGGCTGCTCCTTGAGCATAACACAGTTTCTTATTCACATCATGGTAGTGTGATCAAGAGCTCTTGGTAGGCTGCTTAGTCAAGATCATAACCTACCTTCAGAGCTACAACCCTGCTGTGGAAGGCAAGTTAGAAAGACTTGCTGAGGAGAAGGCACAGCAAACTGTTTTTTGGCTGTCACTCAGATTTTATCTTCTAGACATTTAGAAACTGTTTGGGGGGCTTTGGGGTTTTTTCTTGTCTGTTTTTGGTTCCGTTACAGAGATTTTTCAGGAATTGAAATTCAACGGACTGAACGGGTTCCTTTTTATTCCCTTCTTTAAATATAAGCAAAATATTTCTTGTTTCTTTCTCCTTTTGTGCAACCTCATCCATCCTCCATAGATTCTTGGAAAAAAAACACGTAGCCACTACAGTCATTTTTAATATACATTAATATGAAATTAACAAGCCCCAGTTAATTGAAAAAGATGCAAATTATTTAAATTCCTCATAGCTTGACTTTTCCTAGTCTGCCAAAAAAAAAAAGAAAAGACATTCAGATGAGTTCGTAGGAGTAACTTTACCTCCTTATTATCTATCACTCTGCTTAATTTCTCATCTCCAAATTTCAAAATTTCTACTTGTAATTCCAGGTGGGGAGAACAATAGATGCTGAAATACGGGACCTCCTGAATTCCTGAGGTTTTGGCAGCCTTATCCCTGTTAAGTGTGTGTTCAATGTATAGCCATCTTTGCTTTTGCAACAACATCTTGTTAGGCCTTGATTGTATATGCAACTGGAAATAATAGCTGTAGCAAAGAACAGAAGTTATTTTTGGCCAGTAATGATACAGAGCAAAACAAGCAAAGCCAGCAAGGATAATGTCATTTTGAACTGAAATGTAAACAGAAGCTCCAGACAAGGATTTTTATCAAGATAGTATCAGGCTAGTTTGGTCTTGATACTTGAACTCCTTAACTGGGTGTTTGATGGCTTCTACTGATGTTTTCCCAGAGAAGTAGCTGGGTGCTTTTTATTTGCTTTGACTTATTATCTGGGTCTAATGAAAGAGCAGGAAGTCGGTTATGGCTTTTGTAGCTGAGAGCTGTTTCCTTGTCAGGAAAATGCTTTTATTTAAAAAGGACATATTGTGTGCATACATATTCACACATTCTGTTATGACTAACATGAAAAGAGTTGACTGCTTGGCTGGTTTAAAGCCAGATCTCAGAAAGACAAGCCTTTTAGCCATTTTTTTTTTTTAATGGAAGCAGGGCTTTAAATGCTATAATGGCATTTCAAGAGTACAGTAGTCTCTATTTTTATCAGATAGCTGTGAACTGTGTAGGAAAGTTCCAGTAACTTGCATTGTCTGCTTAGTTATAGGAATATGTTCTGATATTTTAAATTTTTGATTTTCTTTTGTTCTGTGTAGTTTAATGCAAACTCTCTCTCTCAAAAAAAAGTATTTTTAATGTGTTTATTTTGCTTCTAATCCTTTAACATATACATATTTAACTAAAGTAGAAGAGAAAATGCTTTTCTTAACAGAAAATGAGTGCAGCTTATTGATACATTTCTTCCCTGCTTCATGTTCTTTAAAGGCCCTTTAATCTACCACAAAATGCTTTTATAGGCACCCTTCATTGCTGGTCTCTCCTCATGCTTACCGGGTGAGTTTAGTAGTATTCTCTAGGGATCGTGTGCCATAAGCCCAAGCCAGAGGACCCGCGTGTCAGGACAGCACCGTGTCACCAGGGCTACTCCTTAAACCGTTGATGTTCCTGCTTGCCACTACAGCAAGTGATTGGGGCTTTCCTGATGAAAAGCAGACCAGTAACTGCCGAGTTACTGGGTACCAGTTACTGCTTGTAAACTAGTAGGCAGCAGATGTGCCAAAAAGATGGCATTTCTGGAAATAGCCTCATTGGCAGGGCCTTTTAGATATTAAAGCACAGTTGTAAAGTGGGTGACTCATACTGTAGTTCATGGTCAGTTTTACTTGCTTAAAATTGCAGTGTAGTACTGCTAGCTCTCGTAGCTCACGTAGACAAGGCCTGAATCTCCAAGTTAGCAGATAAAGCTTCCTTTACCTCTCCCCTTTTTTTTTGCCCCAGAGAGGAGCACATCATTCAGGCTTTCTCCACCACTTTAGAAGAGACCATTAAAAATCCACTTAAACTTTGATGCTATTCTTGTTAGGAATACAGCATAGGTTTTCTGAGCAGTAGTAATCAATGTTTCTTGGCTAATTTGTTTAGACAAATTAAATGCTTTAAGTATTGATATTAAAGAAGTATTTCAACATGGCCTTTCCACAGTTACATAATATACCACAATGTCGTATATCATTTTGAGCTGTTATCACACGGTCGGGACAGCAAGCAAGTTTCCACGCTTTTGAGGTTTTGATTTGTCAAATTCTAGCACTTCCTCATTGTACCCAAGCACTGCAGAGAAAGCCATTTCCCCTTCATACTTGGCTTATGCCTCTATCTGAAACTGCATTATTACAGTTGAGGTGAAGTACTTTTTATTTTAGTCTGTATTACCATATCGGAGAACGAAGGGTGGCTGTTCCTTCAGCAGACAACCTGTGTGAGCCTGAGTAGTGGTAGAGTGACTGGTTCTTGCGTTTCTTTCCCTTCCTCTCTATTTATAGTAATTCTGTGGAATTGGCATTTTGAAAATAAATTGACACCAGTAATCCAGCAATCTTGCTTACACCACCCAGTACTCATATGTAGCTGTCAAGTTCAAATTCTTAAGTTTCAGACTTGGAGATTTTCTGTTAACTGTCCTGACATACTTGCAGGCCTGGCACACGGAGCCTCTATTATCCCTGTGTATTTATTAGAATGAAGATTAGAATTCTGTCTGCTTATAACCCACTCCTACGGTGACTCTTATCAGATGTTACAGTGCTTACAACGTTCACAAGGAAAGTGCGGCAGTAGCTGTTCCCAGGCTGACTTGATAATAATGCAGCAATGGCAGCGTGTGTGTGTGTGTGTGTGTATACATATATATATATATATATATGTATATATATATATACAAAGCTTTGTGTGTTGTTCTGTTTTGCAAATGCTCTTCCATACATACTCAGACCCCTCAGATATGAGCTAGTTTGAGCACTGATGTACAGACGTGTATGCTGGCTTAGAAGCTGCTCATTATTGATTCAGTTTTATTTCTTTCCTGTTTAAGCCATTTGTAAATAATGTTCAAAAAATACACACGTAGCTTTGTGATAGTTTAACCAAGATCATTTTAAATAACGGGTAGCAACTTAACGGCAAATATTTCAATAGATAAGGCTGGAAGAACAGATTCCAGCTCAACAGAACTTGTTTTCTCACAGTGTAGTTACCTGCTAAACATAGCAACTAGGGTGAACGCTCACTCTGATTCCCCCTCATTTTGTGGACTCTATACTACTAATAATAAACCAGCTGCAGCTGAGGATTGAGAAGCATCAGTCAAGCCTTCTTAATTGTGATCAGTTACTGGCTTTAGCTGGCGTGGTCATTAACGATGTGGATGGTGTGACATTGCACGTATATAAGTGCGATGTAATTTGACCTTGATTATGGGTGGGTATCTTCCAGGAGGAAGAGACCCCTTCCTCACATGAAGCCATGGGGCGGATTAGCTCTGGAAAGTGTGTGTCGGGATTAGGGGGTTTCTGGACTGAAGGTGGCTGCCATTCAGGCACCTTGTGGCACTGACAGGGTACTCTGTGTAGCACTGCCATCTGCAGACAGCGGCTTCGGACTCATGGATCCCGGTGAACTTGCAAGCTGAATTGTACAGTTATATAAAACTCTCTTAAAAATATATGTATATTTCTTATGGTATCACTGAGGTACAATGAAAGGGCAGCCAAATAGTGCTGCTTGAACAAAATTAAATTTTAAAGTAGATGTAAAAACTCTTTCAGACATTTACTGTGGGGAAAAATATGTCTCTTTTAAGGGTGAAGTAAGCTTTTGATTTCAGTTAAGTACAGCACTTTGATAAGTAAAATCAACATATTTAAGAGGACTGAATAATAGATCTTTACTAAATAGCTGTAGAGTAGGGTTTCATATTGAGTTTAATTACATAGGTCAGCTTTTTCCCCTGTTGGACTGGCATGTGAGTTTGTATTATAATCTGATAAGCAACAGATTTCCATCCTTTTCCCTAGGTATTCATTTATTGTAGTTACATTATGGGGGGTTTATAGAAGTCGTAGTCATACGCTGCGTTCCCAGTGTGCTAACTCTTGTAACGCAGTGTGTTCTTTCATTATTCTCCACTGAGATTGTAAGCTTACAGGGAAGAGGCAAAAAAAAATTTCCTGAGGGTTTGTCCTCGTGGGAAATATCATCTAGAACAGCTATTGAGTCTGAGGCCATAATTCTGCACATTATTTTTTCCAGTTCTTTGGTATTTGCCAGGAATCATGAGCCATAATGACGAATGAGTAAGCGGTTTCATAAAGAAGAGAATCTAGCACTGATTAACAAATAAAGGAGGAATTAGTGCTTATGTGTGTGACCACTGGTGTTTTTTATTTAAGTCCTACTTTTGGAATGGGATGAAAGAGCTCCCGCTCCGCTTTTTTTATTGTGCTATTGTACACCCATCTTCTGTCTGGAACAAAT